ACCTGTATGGAGAAAGAGGCATAGGTTGCATGTCGGCCCAGATTGCATGTCTATATTATTAGATTACGCTTAAACTGCCTACTTAAAATGCCTAAGTTTAGTCTTTTAAAGTTACAATGTTCTTACTGTAACTTTTAAAATAACTGCAAGGTTTTTGATGCCATAAAACAGGTGGTCGTTTATTTTGCAGCAATCAGTTTCATGTTTATCTCGGTATGAGGAGCAAAAGTCAGAGAGCATCTTTTTATTTATTTGATTTCCAGTCAAAATGGACATTAAATTATTCATTTTTCACCATCAGTTTAAAAAAAAAATTACACAGAGGAAAAAAACAGATTTAATGTGTCCACCTCCATAATGCCTTCAATTAAAATTAAATCACTGACCCTGGATGTCAAACTTGCACTGAACTGACATGGTTCAAAGAGTCTTAATCTCATCAGTCCATAAAACCTTACTCTGCATCGTGTTCTGGTGCAAAGTTCTTTCATTTTTGTCTCATTTTGGCTGGCACTGGCCCTCAGTTTAGTGTTTAGCATATAAGTGAACTGTGACTGTATTGGGACGGCCTCCCTGTCGTTTATAGTGCAATTTATGGAATTCCTTAACTTTCTAAATCCAGTCTATCTGAGAGGTCCACGCGTCTGACAGGCTGTGTTTTGTGCAGGCAGTGAGTGTAGTGCTGTGGAGGAGGGTTGGGGAGTGCTGGAGCCGGACTGGCTGGAATGCTGAGCACTGCCCACGCTGCAGATGCCCAGTCCACCCGAGAGGAGCTGAGTCACAATCCTGTTCACCGGGCACGTATGATTTACAGAGATCTGCCAGTCAACGTCTTTCAGCAGGACCTGCGTTTTTCTGTTGGCTCAAGCAGCAGACCACTTAATTTTGAATCAACAGGTTTTCTGTTCTTTTCTAAACATAGAGAAACACATTGAAATGATTCTGTGGTAATTGACCATAGAATACAGTTGCAGCATATAGAGGTTAAGTTGAAAAATGCTGGAGTGTTCCATTAAACCTTAGAAGGAGCTATTATTGCTGGAGATAGCAAAAGCAGGTTGCAATTTTATTGTTTTTTTTTACTCTTATTGAAACATGCCGAGAGATTCTGTTAAATGTCCAAATTCTAAACTTTCAATCAGTATCATAATTGTGTAAGAGCAGATCTTATGATTTAAACTTCTTGGAACAAGTTTGTTGGTACAGTCTTGTTTTACGGAAAGAAAAACATCCTTTTTTCTGTTCATTACATAACCAACTATGTAATAATTATGTAATTACCTATGTTATTATGTAATTATGTAATTGCATGTTATGTAATTACAGCAAAACTGTAGTAACACCAAACCTTTTAAGGGTTAACCCCTAAAATCTCAGGCTTATTACAACTTAAGCCTGTGACTTGTTGGCAGTAGATTGTTAGTGGCAAACATGATATTCCATTGTTTTCAATGTAACAGCAGCAGATTATTTATGTTCCATTGAGAGTAAGGTTTTCACAACTTTTGAACAAGTTGCAGTTGTGGAATAAACCGGATGCTGATTTTATTTTTATTATTTTTTTTAAATTTATATATATATTTTTTGAAGATACAGGTGTTGAATATCTCAATGTTGAATTTCCCTTTATTATACAACCAAAAAATTAAAAGAGCACAGAGCATCCCAGAGATGTTGACAGGTCACTTTATGCATAGTCCAAGATGCAAGTCAGGGTTGAGTCTCAAATCTCTGGGGTGCAAGTCAGAGTTGAATTTGAGGTGCGAGTCTAGACTCAACACAGACTCTTTGAGGTGCAATTACAAGTCGAGTCTCTGAGGTGAGGTTTGGAGTCTGGTGTGTGAATCTGATTCGAGTCTCTGAGGTGTGAGTCTGAGTGAAGTCTCGAGTCTTGAGTAGAAAATTTCAGTCTCATTTTTAGCCGCACCTGTCAGGTTCAGTGCGGCTTTAAATAACGAGCCTTTCATTACAAAGAAAGCTTCAGTCTAAAGGACAGAACTGAAGAGCTGCACATAGTAAATATGGAGCTAAAAGTAAAAGGGCAAGCCTTGAAGTAATTGGTCAGTTTTTGGTTTGTAAATATACTTGCTAGCTAGCTAATGCTAATACTAAGTTTTAGCAAGTTAAAAAAAATGTCATCTGTAAATACAGGGGGGCAGTCATGGGCTGGACAGGGGGGCAGTCATGGGCTGGAGGTTAGGGAACCAGCCCTGTGACCAGAACGTCGCCGGTTCGATCCCCTGAGCCGACAGTACGTGACTTGAGCAAGGCACCTAACCCCAAGCTGCTCCCCAACTGCTGCCCACCGCTCTGGGCAGGTGTGCTCACTGCCCCCTAGTGTGTGTGCATTCACTAGTGTGTATGTGGTGTTTCACTGCACAGATGGGTTAAATGCGGAGGTGAAATTTCCCCATTGTGGGACTAGTAAGGGTCACTTAACTAAACCTAAGCTACTTCAGATGACAATCAAAGCTATTGCTAGTTTTGCCTTTTTCCTTCAAACATCCTGTAGGTTATAGAAGCTTATAATGTATTGCATGTAGTGCTTCGTTCTTCTCAGACCGACGTTTTTTTTATAATGAAAGCTGCATTGAACCCTGATGCTGCTGTGAGCCGTGACGAAACAAGCATTACAATATGCTACAAATGATTTCTGCATCCAGGCTGTGATTGTGAGTTTTTCTCATAACTAACTCCAGGGCCAGAGTGAGTTTAGCTTTCCTGGCACTATGGTTAACACTGACGTTTTGGCACTTTCCCTTTTCCATAAGGACGACTTGGACTGGTATGTCAGTGAGATACTTATTTAGCATTTATTTCCTATAGTTCACTTATTACAAAAATAAAAACAACAGTGATAAAGAGAAACAAGTAACAGCTGACAAGGTAATAACATAAATTCATTGCAAAACCCATAAAGCCCTGCTCTCAAACCCCAACACTGCGCATGACCGTAGTAAAACTGAAAGACCAAAATCACACGGAAGGCTGGAAACAAGCCGGAGTTGCTGACTCAAGTCTCCATTTGTGGGGCCTCTTACTGCCTTTTGTTCCCACCCTAAATAAACAGTGGCTAAAGCCCTCCTCTGATAATCGTCCATTTTCATGGCAGTGTTTTTATGGAGGCACACTGCCATCATTCACTTATCATTATGAGGCATGGATCAATGTTTTTTTAACGCAAAGTTGTAAACGCAGCAAAAGGCTGATTATTGCATAATTGCATGGACTGCAATGCAAACTGGTGGAGTTATTCTAACAGAAGCTTGTTATATACCTGTAGGCAGGTTTGGGCCATTTACAGGGTTAAACATGGCCCTGCAACATGTTTCTTTTCTCTAGATTCAAAAGATAAGACTGTTTCGTAGTTTTTGCCATAGTGTCTTGTGAATGGATGTGTCAGTATGAATCAATGGATTGTTGAACTGTTATTGTGTGTGATGTGCAGAAGTAGGAAGCATGAAATAAACTTTAGTGGTAAACTGGCAAATGACTCGATAAATACAGACAGATAAAGAAAAATGAACACCATCATTCATCAAGTTATTAGTCATTTATCATCCAGTCTTTCCATTCATTGGTTCACACAGGACGGACCATCAAATAGCCCACCTGCTGAAGCTCATGGCATTTGATGTATTTGAGAGCAGCTGACGAATGCCTTCTCTTCTGCTTCCTGACATTCCTGCCACTGGAAGGCTGACAGGAACAGCGAGTAACTTTATAATTACAGACGTCATGCCAGTAGAAGAAAGATGAACGGCATTTATTTAATCAAAACATCACATACAATCACCACGGAGGCCAGTAATTAAATACACTCTGTACTTTTCATATCAACTGTCAGTTTGTCAGGCTGATCATCGAATCTTCATGCTTCTCTTATTTCCACACCTGATATCTTCCTGCCTTACTTGCTTTGCTCTGGTCTTCGTTTGAACTCTTCTGGAGAATGCGAACACACGGCGCACGATGGGTCACTTTCCAAGCTCTGAATCGGAGGCCAAACCACGGGCGAGTCCAGCTCGGCAGATGGCTTGAGCTGACTGTGTTCTTGCTGAAGGCTAAATCACTGACATCTTTCGTTTCTGACCGTAATTAGTGTTGCTGCTATAGTGGTTTCAACCATTCATTCATTATTTAGGCTAGCTTTCAGAGGCGCTGTCCAGCGGTCATTTGTAACTGTCCTCTCAGATACAATGTTCTTTACTCCACACAATGAAAAAAGGCATGTTTTTAGACTCGATAGCAATTGTAAGACATCTTTATGAGCATGTAAAACCACTCGTGTTTGTTTTTCTGTTGAACACTCGCTACATTCCAGCCCCAAACATGCATGTTTGTACGCGAGGCTGCAGTTATGTAAGGTCCTCCCGAAAAACTTATGGTGGAAAATATTCCAAATTGCTGGCTTAGCGAGGAGCTGATTACAGCTCTCTGGTGTCGAGGGGATTGAGTTCTTGCATGAGATACAGGCCGGGATAATGAATGAATTTCTGAACCTTTTGTATGTGTCCAGTGCCCAGGATGTCCACCTAATTACCATGCACAGTAAGAAATACCCTTTAAAAAAAACCTTAGGCCTACAATTAGGCTCGCTTCCCTGCCAAAACCCATATTTGTGCTGCATTGTTTGAGTGCAGAAGGAGAGTTTACTAGTTGCGGTGATGCGGTAGGCTCTCGCGCTCTCTCTCGCTTTCTGCTTGGGTCTTTGAAATGCAGAGCTGATCGGTTTGGGCTTTTTATTATTGCAGATGGCTTGGCAGTAAGAAAGGAGAAGATGGGAAAGGAAATAAAGATGAAATAAAAAAAAAAAAAGAACAGAATGAAATGGAGCTTCTTCCACACAATTGTTTGCTTCCTCTGAAGCTTAATACCCATTTCTTGGCTCAATCTCTTTTCCCTCTCTATCTGTTTGGGTCCAGACTCATCATGAGTGGTGACCGCAGCCCAAGGGCATTCAAAGGCATTTCAACACACTCTTGTCCTTTTCCCTGCAGGTGGTCATCCTGGAGGACTACGCTGACCCTTTTGACGCGGCGGATCAGGGAGGGGCCACCCAGAGCAGCACGGAGAAGCCAGTGGAGAACGATGGCTACATGGAACCGTACGAGGCCCAGAAAATGATGGCTGGTAAGGCAGCGGTGTTACTCTGCCATATGCTCACTGTTTTCCATTTCATTAAAGGAATACTCCAGTGTTTTTGACCTAATCTATATCCGCCACAGCTGTAGCATATTGGCACGATTAGCGATTCCATGTGCTTAGAGAAGAACAGAAAACTCATTGACTCAAACCACATTTATAATAGAATCCAATGGGCAGCTGATCTGATGTACCAGCATCCTTATTGTGGTATTTACTTTTGAGGGACGATTTCAAGTTTTACTTCAGCAGAAGATCAGAGACTGTTGTAGCTTTCTTTAACCTGCTCAGTGACTTGTCAGTTTCCACTATGTAAGGAAAGCTGTGCCGATACTATGATTTAATTGTTGAATCTCAATGCTATTTTTCATGGTTTTGTATTGTGTCTGGACCACTTGCATCAATATTTATCCTTTGTGTTGTTTCTGTAGCCATATCCATTACAATAGTTCGATTAGTGTGGATTAATTAACTACTTAACACAAATTTATGGCAGTACAGTCTCATGCTCTATAGACTGAAGTCATGCGTCGTCTGGCAGTCAGTTTCATTCCCATATTAGAAACTCCGGGTCCATCAGTTTTTTCTCTATGGGAAAATGAATGGCGTTTTTGAAGTTTGCTGCTATTGCTTGATATGGTTAATAAAAATATTCCAAAGCAGATACATTTTCCCCTCAAATTTCACTGGATGCTTTGAATGACAAGGTCATGAAGGAGTGTGAAATGTGAATTTTATTGTATGTGTGCTACTAGTGTGCGACAATTGAAGCAATGACTACTAATAAACCTCAACACTATTATATAGCATCACCTACTTAATCTGTAGCTACTATTGTAGATGCAGCTTTAAAACCACATTTGATGAAGCTAGCTAGTTTGTATGGGATATTTTGGCAAGTTTTCCAGTCTTATGTCAGTTCATTGCATATCAGTGCTAATTTCATGTTGCAATATTCATATTTCGACTCCTTAACAAGGATCCAGTGACATTCGAAGGAAAAATGTATGTACATTAAAATTTGGAACATTCCTGCTTGCAACAGGGTGTGATGGTGGTAGTTTTCGAAACGGCATTAATTTTTCCCCATAGAGAGACCGAAAGTTGTCGTAAATCATGATGACGTCTTTCAGAGGTCTATAGCTGCCTTGCTGTTTGCTACACATTTACCGTGGTGGAAATATGACCATAGTAGCTATGAGCGTTAGTCCAGTACAGCTGCACAATATGGACAAAATACTGTATTGCTGCAATTGCAGTTGAGCGGCCAGTATGTTGGAAACACATTGGTGGATGCTTGATGTGGTTAAAGTTGCATTATTTTTGTTGGTGGATTAATGAATAGTCTGTAAAATGAGGAATTAATGAATAATAGTGCATAATTCTGATTCATCCAAATACCCAAAGAGCTTCAGTGATGGGTCAGGGTGGTCACATCACACAATAAGACATTCAGTGAGTGTTCAGAGGCTCATTTGCGTATAGCATACTGTGTTATAGTATTGTGGCTAGGGTCGAGTGGACAAAGGGGAGTAACTGGGTTAGGGTTAGGGTTAGTTAGCAGGCCATCATGCAGCACAGCACAGGCTTGGTTCCAGCTAAGTGATGCTAAAATAACACCCATTTAGAGGATATCTGAGAGCGCAAAGTCGAGTGACTGGTGTTTGTGTGAAAGTTGTTCCGTGCTGTGTGGAGCTCTTAACTGTCCCTGAGTAATTGTCGTATTTAGTTTTTCCTGGCTCTGATTTCTTTTTCCCCTCTTTCTATCAGTGTGACCTGTCTGTGATCAGCGAGCTGATTTTGTTTATGTGGCCATTCAGATAGAAAAGAAATTTTACACATCATAATTTTTAAATCCCATAATTTTTTTCAAATACTGGCATAATTTTTAAAAACTACTGCAGCATACCTGATTACCGTTATACTGCCCCAACGAAAGGTTGCTGATGTTACGAATAAGAAATGGTATATTATGCAGCCTTAATACCCTGCCCTGTATATAATTATGCACACCCACTGCACAGGTAAGGTTTTACTGCCAGGCAAACTGTCCCTCAGTCCGTGTCCTTCATTGCAGTCTTTGTCTTACAGGCCAGTTCGAGTGGACACTTTATTTGTGTCTGTCTGTCGTTGTTCCACAGGCATCTGCTCATTGTCTCTTTGTTGTGCGCTCTGCATTTGCTTAATTAGCTTTGTTAAAGAAGTCCAGAGCACAGGGAATCAGCTCACCTGTCTGAGTCAAGACACTGACCATATGTGTGCTGTCTAGACGATGCTTTGTGAAGACCGGCTCAAGTTTCACAGTAAATACACAACAGACTGTGAATGTCAAACGGCTCAAACACGTACATATACACACACATGCAGTGTAACAAGGCCTGGCATAGTTAATGAGAATTATGATGTCATCTGGAGGAGACAGTCTTAACTATCAGGTCCTTTTTTCCCTTTTATTCATCTGGCTGTAGGCCGGAACAATAGGAGGCTTTTGTGGAAAAGCTGTATTGCTTGTCTGGGCTGAAACAATGGCGTGGCATGCCGCTATTGTCTATCGTCCGCAGAGGGAAGCCGCATGGATTTACGCCATGAAAAACAATAGAAAAAGGAAATGAGCGACGTTCTGCATCAAAGAGCGTATTTGCATCTTGAGGTTCTTCTTAGAAAATAGAAAAGCAGCCACAAATGTGTTTGCAAATAACTTTTAAATTGGTTCCTGTTTATAGTTTTTATTTTTTCTATTTTTCTAATAGGTAAAATTGTCATAAAGCAACACTTGAGGTGTTTTGCACATCCGTTTGAGGCTTATGTGGCTTCATTTCTTATCTGCATTGCTACTTGACTCATCTATCAGGTCTTTTACCTGCTTAGTCAAGTCATTTGGCTGAGTAAGATTTTATTATTCTGCTGTGTTCTGCTCTTTGTGTTCAGGGCGGTGTTTTGCACTGACCCATGAGAGCAGCATTAAAAAGCCTCTCTTCTCCCCTCTGCTTTCTGCTGCCGCTCTGGCCTGACCTCTGACTTCTCTCTAAATCTCCTCTGGATATGAAACTATAATGCAGCTCTAGTGGCCTTTCTTAAGCTACATCCCCACTTTTATTAGAGGCCAGGCCACGAGCTCAGGATAAGCGAGGGCAGTTCCCTTTGTGCCGGCGTGTTTGAGTGTACGAGGGTGTGTGGGAGTATTATAGTGCACAGCGTTTTGTAAGATTGTTACTCATGATGGAGGCAGGATATCACTGGGAAGCCAATAAATGCCTGTGAATTACTAGGAAACTGAAACTGCTGAAAATAATCAGCTTTAAGGACTGGCTGGTGATTTAAAGCTCTGAGGGAGATGAATGCCTGTTCAAATACTTATCATTTAAGAAATATTGTCAATAGTGTAGCTTTGTACTCCTCATTAGGGCTGAATGTTTTAGGGGGCATTTCCTAATGCGATTTGTTTTCTTTTTTTTCTACCACTATTGTGACTGTGTTATATATAGCCATATGCAGAATTTTGAACGCCCCTGGTCAAATGAAAATATGTTGATTTTTTTTTCTAAGTGAAACCAAGTCAACACATCATCTACAAACCTAAATATTGTGTTCTTTCTGCAAATATTAATACATATTTTCTGTTGATATGTTGCGTTTAACATATTGGGACAAAATCTTTGCTGAGGCTACATTTTTATGTTTTATTTTTGGATGTGTTGACTTATTTTCACACATAAATTTGGCTAGGGTGTCCAAACTTTTGAACATAACTGTATATGACATAATGAAGTTCCAAAATGTTATTTTGGCCAGGAGGACCAGCACATCCACTTTTTCCGGCTTGAAGCTTGAATGCTGTCAGTTATGATGTCCTTTGTGAACTGTAGTTATGGCAGGTTACATTGGTCATGTTGACAGACATATCTTTTATACCGTGATGAAATGACTGTTTGCAAAATAATGATTGACACACCTCTCAGCCATTCGCGATCATCTCTAAGCGCTATGCAAAGAAAAAACTGACAAAACTCCTTTAGAACAAACCTGCAGTGAGAACGGCGGTGGCAGTAAATTAGTCAGAACTGTCAGGTGAGAAGTGAAAAGGTGTTATTCAGAAATGTGTAATCTAGAGGATGATTGTTTTTATTTCATTCCTGAAGCTGAAAAAGTCTTGGTTTAATATACACAGCTCAGTGTCGGGACCATTAATAGGCTCTAAGGTAAGCTAAACTTTATCAGCGTTACAGTATTTGATAGCAATTATTTAAACATCATGTTTGATGATAAATATTTCAGATGTTAAGATGAACTGTCTTGGCTCCAGTGTTAGCTTTAGCTTTCCTTTTTATTAGACATAAAATCCTATGTCTTAAAAGCCCACAGGCTAAAAGGTTTCCTGATTTCCAGGTGTGAGCAATTGTAGTCTGTTAGCACAAACACTACGAATACTACCAGGTGGCCTGAGCTGAACGTTTAATGGACATAGCAACAGTAACCAAGGGACGTAGGTCTTGTCAGAATTTTGCAGGTAGTCAGTTAAAGGCCAGTTGCATGATAAAGATGATATTAATATGTTTACAGAAGAAATTGTTGCACCACTGAGTTTATATGTTGACCATACTGTACAAGCAATCTTAGCAATTACAGATTGGAGCTTTAAATAGGATGCAAATGCTATGACATGGATGACTAAAGGCCACTCTGAAATATGTTCTGACTGTACAGATCGCAGATGGCATTGGCAAGTCTTCACCATACATTCAACGTGGCATCCTGAACTGAACTAGAGAAATATTCTAATGAAATGTGTCGTACTTTCAAAAGGGCCCATATCCTACAACTTTCTTGTATTTTATTTTTCTCCCTGAGGTCCACTTTTTGAAAATTGTGTACTTTCACGTACCAAAAACAGTCAGAATAACTGGAATAACTTCCAAGCCTCGACGTGGTCAACAAATTATAGAAAGTCCCACGTTTGAATAAAAAGAACCAGTTGCCTTGTTGGTAAA